TGTTGAACGCGTTAAAAATTCCAACATTTAATCGTCCATTTTGCTCATATTGGTTTATATAAAATAGCATTTCCAGTGGCTTATATTAAATATATATATTACATATTTTACAATTAAAAACACAAGAAAAATTATTTATTTAGTAATAATCTATTTAATCTTTGAGTGAAGAATATTAATTTTGATTTCCAGTGTTTAGTAAAATATTAATTTTATTTATTAAAATAATTTCTATTTCTTTGTTATATCTATTCTTTTTTGAATTTCTTTTCATAAGGAGCACGATAAGCTAGTTTTTCTTAATTCTTCTTAATTCTTTGTTAAGAATAGTTTGATTTTTTAATTGTTACACCTTGTTTTTTAATTAGTTTTTATTTGTTTATTATTGATACATATAGCATTACAGAATATAGTATCACAGAAGATAATATGTTTATATTCGCTTCCTTTTCTTAGCTTCAACTTGTAGAACACATAGTTTCAAAACTACGTGTTCTTTTAACTTTCGAAGGTTTTCTGATTCCTACATTATTTATTGTTGATCAAATCGACACTGATCAATCGATATAGAAACTTTGCACGCTCGTTTTTTATATTAGTATCTATTATATTATTACGTTTTATTAAAATTTATATTTATTGTTACATTTATTTATATTATTATTATATATTTTTAAAATTTAAAAAGTTTAGTATAACAACAGCAGGTACTATCATACATTCTACTAGTCGTTAGATGGCGATAGTTGCTTATCTGACAACCGGACTGCTGGCAAGGGCGCCTTTTCAATACCCGCTTGAATGGGAGAACCAGCCGGTTGGTCGACGAGTGGTTGCCTGACCGGCCGGCACTTCGCGTACCATCGTCGCGGCGTGCGGTACGTTTGCATTGACGTTCGCCGTCGTTTCGCGTACTTTCCGCGTTCCTTTCCAATTTAACTTCCATCCCGAAAAAAACATCCGCGCGAAAAGATCTCGTAAGTAACAACATTTTCGAAGGATTCACTGCGATGCCATACGTGTACGACCCCTGAAATTCGAACGTTAATTAGTAACGTGCCGCGTGTTTTCTCAATCTCTCATGGCTCGAGAGTGCGAAGTGAAAGTGTTGGAAGGATAGAAAAAAAAAGAAACAAGCCGCTCTGACGCGATAAAAGGATATACGATTTGATTTGATAGTGACGGAAAGAAAGAGGCCGAGGTCGTGCGGTATGAAGTCATGCCGGCGGCACGGAGGATCCACGAAATTCGGCCAGTTTCGTGGATCGGCGCGCGGCGATGCGGTGTTCCGGTGATAAGGGAAAACCGACGCTAAAGTGTGTTATGCGCGAGTGGGGCCGATCAGAAGTACGCTATCCAGCAGCAAGCCGCCGGCATCATCGTCGTGATGCCGTTTGTGATGCGGAAAGTGGAGCCGCGGCACGTGTGCCGCGGCCACATGCCGGCGGGCTCGCATCCGGGCTGGCCGGTGGGCGCCGAGCTCGAGGCGGTGGCGAACGGCGCCCTCACCACCTCCCTCAAGCAATTGGCCTCCCTCCTGACCGTCGCGGAGGATATTTTCGCGGGCCTCACCGCCGAGCTGGCCCAGATCGCCGAAAGAAGCGGACATTTACGTCGCAAGATCGACAAGGTCGAAAAGCGCCTCAGCACTGTTGATCCCAAGAAGATACCTGTCCGTGAGTATTCGAACTCACTGATATTTACGTTATCTATTAGATTAATTCTTCAGATTGATCTCGCGATAAATTCACATGGAGACCACAAATCTAATCGGCCTGATATGCAATTATTGCTGCTATGTTAGTAATTTCTTCAACAAACGATTTTCGGAGCGCAAAGTTTAAACTACTTGAGAATACAAAAAGTTCGAAACAGTTATTGTCATGCTTATAGCGTGACCATGGAAACGTTGCTTCAAAGTACTATCATTGAATAAAGTTAGAAACTAAGTAAATTACCTCGGAGAGAATAGACATTGTAACGCACGCGAAGAAAACTGACGTGAGGCGCTCACTCACGTTTAATTTGCTCCAATTTCGTAAAACAGCTCTCTCGATAACTCTCTCGATATTTTGCTACGTCGCGCGCAAAACTCGAGGCAACTCTCGTAATGTTTACACTTTGATACATTGAAGTAACCGTTTTCAGACTTGCTTCGAGAGACATTCGAATCATAAAACTTTGGCTTCTATTTTTTCTGTATTCTCCCACATTTTCTTTTAGCAATAATTTAATAAAAGCATCTTCTTTTTATGAGATTATTAATGCAAACTCTCTTCCCAATTTTATCTATAAAACCTCTTTATTTAATTTTATAATACATCGTGGAGATGAAATAAAAAAAATATAATAAAAAAGATAAAAAAGGTAAGTGAAAATGAAAAAGACAAAAACTCAAAAGAGAGAAAAGAAAAATAAAGAATCCTATTTTATGAGGAAAACATTCTAAGCTACCTGGTCTTCACCGTGGGAAACAGATTGCAAGATGTCTCACCTAAGTTTCAGCAAAGAGCAGGGTATATAACTCCTACCAGTAGAAGTATAAAGAGCCCCTTATTTTCTAATTCTAAAGATTTATCTTATGTACAAGTAACAAGAGACCTGAAAACGAAGTTGCAAAAATCGTTAAGGAATCATTTGAAGATGTCGAAGCTATTCAAAGCTATTCATATTCGAAGTTTTGGAAGATCTCTGAAGATATAATTAAAAATAGGCAATTCGTAAGCTAATGACAAATGTTTTAAAGGAAATATTTATGGACTAATACATTTTTAAATGTAATGTATATATGCATCTAAAAATTTAAAATTGAAATTTAAAATTAGTTGTACATTAGTTGTGAATGTTCTTATTTATATATTTTAAAAATTACCGAAAAAGATAATGAAAACTTAAAGGTTGGTGAACCAGTTTATTTTCATTCTTTTCATTGAATTTAATGTTAGAAAGGATTAGATACAAATTCCAGTCATGCCTGAATGCGGCAGCGATTGAAGAGGGCAATTGAAAAGTCGAAGGAAAAAGTTGCCACCGACCGAAATCGCTTTAGCTTCAGTTTAAGTATCATCGGGCGCCGCCCGTGGAAAATTAATCAGTCAGGTTTGACTTGAAGCCACTTTTTTCGATCTCCGTTATTTCCGAATAGTCGTAAAGCCGAGAAAATTACGATTTATCACTGTGCGACTTTGCTACGAAAACAACAATGCGCTCTTCTTGGCTCTTCTTTCCGAGATCAATTCTTTCTCCGATCCGCTTTTTCTGATATTAATATTGATTTCTCGAAAACATATTGATACGTATCTACGTAAACATATATTGATCTTAATTATTTTCTTTGTTATAAATTCTTGCAATATAAAGTGAAAAAAGAAGAAACATGTACTTTTTCTATCTTCTATTCTTATTTATTTAAATTTGAAAATTACGTTTTTATTCATCACGCTTTTCTTATATTGGTTTCTAAATTTAAATAAACTTATTTTTTAGATTAATTTGCTATAATTTATATCAAGTTAGAAACTGATAATTACAGAAATAAATTTCTTTGACTTAAGATAATTACGATTTAATAATTAAATAATTACATTTGTTCCCAATTTTCGTCTAAAATCGAAAATCGTTATGTTTTCATGAATGCTGCAAAATATTGCATTCAAAGTGGATGTTCATTCCATAGTTTCTATTGGCAAATAGCTGAGGCTTCTTTCTCCCTCCAGGTTTCGAGAGAAAAAGCGTCTTTCATCCTTAGGGGGATCGCTCGTTTGACATTGCAAACGCCTATAGGAAAGAACCCGCGCTTTTTTCCAGCGGTCCTCTCGTACCGTCCTGAATCCTGCAAAGACGTTGCTCGCTGAGACAGCTGACTCAGGTAATCGGCGGCACAAACGGCGCCGGGTCTCAGATTCTTCTCTTCGGGTCGGAGGGAATTTTAATTCCCAAGAGTGAAACAGGCTTCGGTGCTGCCGGGAAGGAACAGATAAAATAACGTCTGCCGGGTGTAATTTAATGCCGGTATACGCGTTTATGCGTCTCGAGTATATTCGATTTATAAAGAGGGGAAGGGGAGCGTTACTCGTTTATTTATTTTCAAAAGCATTTCTCCGAGCTTCGTTCTTTCATTGTGTTTCAATAAAACGCAACTTGCTAGGATGGTCAAATTAACGTATTTTTACGTGTGACTTATCATTTGTCTTTGGATTACATGTACCGAGTAGATTATTAAGACATCGTTGCAGCACGATAATAATTTATTACATTCGCTAGATAATATTCCTATGCGCCGACATTTAACTTCTCCCGAAGCTACACGAAAGCCGCGAGCAACGCGGTTGAAAATATGTATTTAGCCTTGAACCTTCAGGTATCCTCAAGTATCTCGCCAGGGATATCACGGATCCTGGTGAAATCAGAATTTACGTTCTTCGGAGAGACACCGAGGTCGAAATACAAAAGAAAAAAATGAAAGGGAGACATAAAGAAAGAAAATATTGACATAAATATTTCCTCGCATTATTACTTCACGCGCTATTTTATTAAAAAGTTTTACAAATTATATTTAATCCTGGATTCATTAAAAAATTACTCGTAAATATATGAGACTCTGCTTGATTAAAAAGAAACGAGTTAAAATCAGATTATCAGAAAAATTATATTTTTGTTACACATAAATAATATACATAAATAATAATACCGAGTGTAACACAATTTTATAGAAATCAAAATTCAATAAATTAATTAAATTTAAAAATTAATGGAAACTTTCCTTTATTTAAACGGACAAATTGTTCATATCATGTCACACTATGGGACTCGTGTGAATAACCCCTTAGACAAACATAGGATCACAATATTGACTTTGGAAATCTAATATTGTTAATGCGGTTCTGTAATGTCGCATCGAGCGCACGAGAGGATAGCAGTCGACCGGCTTCTGCGGAAATGACATACCATACACAGGATGTGGTTCGACCTGGTCGAGCAGGTTCACCAGTGTTTCAAACTACGAGCGAGCGGTTATAGTTTGATGGGCTTCCCATCGAATATCCGGCCTTGCGAAAAAACACTCTTCTTCCGATTCGCTGTGTTGACAGCAAGAAACAGCTGTTTCTTGTCTTTGTTTCTTACATCTTGTAGAAGAACTTTTTCATTGCGTAGAGAGGCGTTATTTATTATTGGAATTATATCGCATTCTTTTGAGTAGATGTATCATCATTCATTTTTTTAATGCTGCATTCAAATATATTATTATTTGTTATATTAATGTTTTTCCCGAAGTTGATGTACTTCAAAATGAACTTGAATAAAGTTTACTTTCACACGTTATTAGCCAGTTTTTCATCTAGTAAACTCGAAACTCCGCTTGCCGCTTGCTTTCCCCTGGGTAAATACACTGGTATTTCAAATTTACTGTTGCCCCTTTAGGCAAATATACGAGATTCTTGTAATTGAGCCTTCGCTACCTTAAATAAGCATATTTTTATGGCGGCATTAATTTACAAGCGTGTTTTGCAGTGTTTCCTCTTTCAAATTTATGATGAAATATGGAAATTTTATGACTGCGGCGTTTATAAAAGGACATATGATTCATGTTTAAGGTTTTCCATAAGAGATTGATACAATTTATTATGTGCAAATTAAATACAAAATATCCAGAATGAATCCGATAATTTTTGGAGTTTTATTTTCTCTGAATTTTAAAATAATAATATTCAAAAATTATTATAAAAACATATATTTTATAAAATAAAGAAACAAGCATTTTTGTAAACAATTATTAATGAATAAACATTTCAAAATTTTTATCAAATTTTTTCAGAGTTTTATGATCGTTATATGATTCTTGTTCAACGTAAAAGTTTACCTACTATTTTAATCAAAGAGTTTCCCGCGTCAGCTGTTTAGCCAGTTTAGAATTTTTACACACGTTTCCATACCGTCCCTCGTGAACCCTGTTGTGGATGTCAGACATGGATCTCCATGTACGAATAATAACGACGAGGACGGAAATAAAAGTGGGCTGCATCAGGCGCAACGGTCGTCGGTTATAACCCCGTCTCCGGGGTTTTTCATCACCCCTCGTTCCTTTCTTTATTTCCTTGCTCGGCTTCTTACTCTTACTTCCGGTTGCCAGCTGGCATCGAAGAGCAAGAGGGGGTTCATCGAGGGGTGATGCAAGCACGGGAGTGGCAGACACCCGGACAGAGGGACTTTCCCGCTTAATTTTAGCTGGCTTGACACCGAGGCACGTGCTACGAATAAAACTGCTCTTTACCGCGTTAGAATACAATGAAAAAAGTTTATCCCTAACGATAAGGTATGTTCGCTTAGATGTTAGGTGAAGTGTGAAGAACCCACAGTGAAATATTATCTCGAAAAGTTTTTGAATACATTATCTCCAAATAAACTATATACAAACTGAATATATTAAAGACTGAATATATTATTAACATTGATATATATATATATATATATGTATATATATATATATATTATTAACTTTATTAATATCTTTATACATTATTAATTAATATCTATTTAAATTATTATATGCAAATGTATTTACTAAATTAAATAATATAATTAAACTAAATTTTGATTTTTTTTTCTTCACAGAGTATTTCATGAATATATTTAATAATCGCATTCATTGAAAGTAAATGAAGAAGATACTAAATAT